TTAGACACTAATTAAAGTTACTTACAGTATTATGAATGTCTCATTTCTGTAAAACACCTCAAAGTTACCCACTACTTCATTTCTTTAAAAATATTGTTATTCTACTAAACCTATCAGTAAGTATTTATGGACCAATTAAATTACAAAACAATCACAAAAGGTTCATACTGGTTATATGATTATTTTTTTAAAGCAGAGGATGGCAGATTTTATTCTCCCTATGTCTCTGAGCTCTTTTTTTAAACTATTTTCTTGTTCACTAAAAACAAAATCTACTCTTCAGATAATTATGTTTTCGCTTAAACAGTAATTTCTTTTGTTTACAGAATTAGTCATCTGGTTTCCTATAAAAAAAAGTCCCCCCGTTCTTAAAATATAATCTGACTCAGGGGAGAAAACTTTCACCTTCGGCCTGCCTCGCACTGTGAACTTCCATTCAAATTTGCAGAATGACACCTTTAGACATCTGTTTCCAAAATGTTACAGTGTAGCAGATAAAATACACTTTTATCAGACATTTCTATTGCAGCTTTTATGAGAAGCCTCTTTTCTTCTTTTTCTTTACCTCCTTAGCTCTCTGCTGATGTATCATCATCTCGTCTTTTGTCTGATTCACCTCATTTCTGTTGTAGTCAACAGTGGTAGTGGGACCAGGACTCAAGCCCAGAGATGGTGCTGACCCCACCGATCCCTCAGAGAGAACAGGCTCACTGCTGGACAGCGAGTCTGTCCTCAACAAGGACTCTGGTGGAGACATAGTGGCAAGGGGCAGTTTGATCTGAGAAAAAGATAGGTTATTAAGTATTAAGAAGAATCCAAGCTAAGACAGGTTTTACCCTGCTTGGGATCATGATTCCAGATTTACATACCAGATTTTCTGCATTACCTTAAAAGTTCTGACTGGATCTTGTTGTTGCTGATGATGCAGTTGAGGGTGGGGACAGGAAACATGTTCTTGCTGGTGATGGTGGTGATGTTGTTGGAGCTGCTGGTGGGGTACTTGATGAAGATCCGCCTGCTGCCTGTGATGTTGCTGTTGATGATGTTGGAGGTGCTGTTGTTGGCTGCACTGTTGCTGTTGGTACTGTTGCTGGTGATTATATGAAAGGGTTTGTGTTTTGTTCATATCCCGATGCATTTGCCCTTTTCCTTCTTCCCGTCTGCCTCGCCCTCGACCTCGGCCACGCCCCCTCCTATTTTCTCCAGCCACAGATCCCATCAGGCTCCTACAGTAAGGAGGTTCTGGAAGAGGACGTATACGTGGACGACCTCGTGGCCGAGGAGGTCCTTCACGTTTTGGTTTAGTTGGTTTCCTGCCCCTTTTCTTAGGACCATCGTGAGGGGGGGGTTGCGAAGGGTGTCCAAGAGAAGAGTAGCTGGAAGGGTGGCAAAAGTCCATGTCACCTATTTGTGGGCTTAGTCCACTTATTCCAGAAACCCCACCAGGTTTTCTACAACTGGACACCAAGTCAGGCAGCAAGTCAGGAAGCCGGCGATTGTTAAGGCGAATATCTGCTGGAACATCAGCTTTATCTTCGTCATCCCCAAATTCATACTCCTGCGCATAGTTTTTCTTTGTTTGAGGCTGTGGCTCACGTCGCTGTTTAAGCAAGTGAAATGAGCTGGTCCTCAGCAGTTTTTTGGGTCGAGAGGAACAGAAGATAGGAGAGGTTACACCAGTGCTGTTGGAGTTTTTATCCGCTCCCACAGTTGCTATCATCTTGTTGACTAAGCTATCCTCTTGAACTGCTGGATTCAATCCCATAATGGGAGTTTGGGATTGGATGAGGCCAAGCTGGTCAGTATTCACAGTGGAAGGAAGCTCATGAGTCTTCAGACAGTCAGGGTCTAAGTGCAGATCACTATTTCCTGTTCTTGAAAGTCTTTGGCAGTACTGTCCAAATCCTTGATTGCTTTGATGACCAACCATATTATAGCCCTCTGCAGCACCTCCTGATTTTAAAGCCTCCATATCCTCTTGTATCGGTCCATGACCCTGGCTGAGGTTTTCTTGAGCACTGTGTCCTGCCCCCGCACAGCTTGATTTGTATTCAGATGAACAAAACAGATCCTCCATCTCAGGAAAAACACAGTCTGGAAAGCAGATTGAGGTCAAAGGTGCACATTGCTGCAGTTGAGCTTGAGTCTGTCCTACTTTATCTGTCTGGCTTACTGTCTCAAATTGATGCTGTTTGAGCTGCTCTAACTGTGAGTGTGAGAGTTGTGTTTCAGGATCTGTGACCTGGGATTGCTGTTGTTGGGGTGTTGCTAAATGTATTGTCATCTGTTGCAAGTGTGAATGAGCTATCTGAGTGGTAACAGACAGTTGATGATGAGTGTGCTGAGTGTGTTGCAGAGCATGGGGGTGGGGGTGGGTCTGAGGTTGGTTGAGATGGCTCAAGTGTGAAGGGGTGAATAAGTCCAAATCTTGTTCAGAAAGGAAGTCATGAAGATCCGATTTTGTTTGTTGAGGATGCTGGTGGGTGTTAAGTCTGTGCTGTTGCGTATGTCTGTCTCCTCTATCTATGTCCTGTCCTGTCACAGTCATATCAGCTCCACTTCTGTCCAGAGATTTTCCACTGTCTGTACCATTGGCCTGAGAAAGTGATTGATCTAGCATCTGTAGTGGAGATACTGAACTCTGACTGGCTCGTGTTTGATATGTTGGATGGGTTCCACTGTAGTGGGTATCTAGACTCTGTGAGGACCGGTTCTGTACATGGGATTCCAACCCAGCAGACCCTGCTCTTCTAACTGAACCCATCATAGCTTGCTGGTGTTGCTGCTGCTGGTGGTGGTACTTCTGTTGCTGCTGTGGGGCTTGTTGGGAATCCAGCTTGTTTTGGATAGTGTGAGAAGGGACAGACTGTAACATGTGAGTTTGCTTGGGATGGTCTGGTGACATATTCATCAGAGAGACAGAGACATGGCTTTGTCGAGTTTGCTGTACATCTGGTGCATAGTAGGCATTGTCATTTGCATCTGAAGGCTTCTTAATCTCTATATGAGAATGACTTTGTGGGAGGGAATTACGATGACTATGCTGAGAATGTTGAGAGTGATGTGTATGCTGAGTGTGCAGAGAGTGCTGGGAGATTTGAGAGTGCTGAGTGTAGTCCTGAGAGTGTGTGGACACATGTGAAGTGCTATGAGGATGCTGGGAGTTTGGGTGCTGTATGTAGGGATCATCTCTTCCATAATGGACCGCAGAACCCATTAACTCATTTTGCTGATGATGCGAGTGGATGGCATGAGAAGGAGAATCAGATATTCTTCGCACCCCTGAAGTATTTGACTTTGACGTGATCGAGTCTGACCTGGCCTGCTGTTTCTTCTGTGATATTTCTGATGGTCTGTCTAAGCTCACTGTATCATTAATTGCCATTCCAAGACTAGAATTGCTGGTAATGTTATTGGTACGAATGACACTCTGAAGCTGGTAGAGCTCTTCTGATGTCTTGTTAAGATCATATGCCATTCCCTTGCTCTCCCCATGAAGGATTGGTTGAGACAGTTGCTCAGAATATGGGTGATGTTGGGAAGAATGGGAATTTGAGCTTTGTGGATGTAGTAAGTGGTGGATAAGCAAATCTTCACTGTTTCCTCCGTCTTGGGATTCCTCAGCTCCCAGCATGTTTGTGGCCTCTGTTTTGGTGTTCGGGGGTGTTGACTGGTACAACTGGTTCCGAGCTTGTCGGTTATCAGGGAAACCTTGTGGTGAGGACATAAAAGTAGGAGCTGGGACAGAAGACAAGTATTTATTTGCCCCTGAGCCTCCAGGGGACTGCACAGGTCGAGCAGCTACAGGAGAGTGCAATCCTGAATAACTGATAGTAGAATTGGTTGAGGGTGATGTACTAGACTCAGTCAGGTGATATGCGCTACTGCCTTCATTACCAGCAGCCCCGTTCCCAGTTACCGGAGAGCCTACTACACTGTGAATACCAGGTCCACTCCCAGCTGACCCACTCCCATATTCAGTGGATGGAGTGTGTGGTTTTCTGAGAGATGTTGAGACAAAACTTGAGTCTTGAACGATTATCTCTGCAGAGAAGGAGCGTTCACCAGAGCCTACACCCATGAAGTCTTTCCCCCCACTGCTCCTTGCTCCAGTGCTCAAGTCCCGGACATGGGGTGAGTTGAAGCCATCATAATGCACATTCATGTGTGTAGATGGTGGCAGGTTGGGGGAATACAACTGAATGTGTTTCTGGGGAGGGGTCTGGTTTGGCAAGCTTGTGCTAGGTTTGGTCACAGATTGAGAGCCATAGGTGGACAGACATTGACTGGCTCCTGCTTGTTGTACAAGGGATGATGACACCACTGGGAGAAGAGGTGGTACTAGTGCTGACTGAGGTGTGGGTTGCTGAAGAGAGGGAGCAGACAGAGAAATAGTACTGGTCTTTGAGCTAGAAGAGGATAAAGAGGAGGTGGAGGAGGTTGATGGTGGAGTTTGTGGGGTACAGGAAGAAGACGAATAGTTACTTGTGGAGCAGGAACTTTTGGCACCTTTAGTAGTAACTGAAGAGGAGGAGGGAGTTGAGGAGCTGGATAATGATGAGGTATAGGCTGTTTGGATGACAGGTTGATATATCTGGGATTCCATCTGTGGTGAGGTCTTGGGGTCAGAGGATAGGCTCCGTTTCCCCAGTGGACTGCAGGACACACCAGCATGCTGATAATGGCTGACTAGCTGGTGGTAGCCAGATGAACCACCAGAGCTGGCATAGGATTGTGATTGTAGGGTTGTGGTGTGGGCTGAAGATGAGCGAGGGTAATGCTTGATCACACTATCATGGCGGGAAATTGCTGTCTGTGGAAGTGGCTGAGGCTCAGGAAGAACTGCAGGTGGCAGGGCTGCCATCGATGAGGACATCGAGGCATTATATAGTTGAGAGGATGAGTTATGAAGCTGAGAGGGCAACAGATTTAAGTGGGGAGGGGACAGGTGGCAATTGGAGGAAGTGGAAGGGTCTTGGGTCTGGGGAGTTGCAGATTCTTGGGAGCCCCGGAAGGCAGTGCTCTGGGAAGACAGCAAGTGATCAAAGCCCAAGCTGGACTGAGAGGATCTTTTGATATGTACCAAGGAATCATGTGGGGATATCAAGCCGTTAGAAGTTCGGCTAAATGTAGTTGTATCCTGCAGGGATAATGAGGGAGTGAATGATCGTCCAGAAAAAAGGCTAGGATTCTGGTATGCAGAAAGGGCTGAGGAGGAGGGAAAGGAGCTTGAACCTGGAAGTGCCCCTGAAATAAAGAGGTCCGTTGGGGCCGGTGTATGCATGGCTACAGGACACAATATTACATAGAAAGTGTTGGTCAGTCTAAGTCATTGAACTTCTTTCAAAAGTTCATTTTTGAAAAATTGTCAATTGTTGTACTTTTATTTTGAGACTACAGAAATTTTACTTTTTGCTTATAGAACCAGTGAAAATACTTTTAGGACTGAAATTTGACTTCGTTTTATTTTAAGTTTAAGAACTAGGACTGACAATAGTTTGTTTTTATTTATTTTTTAAATGTTCCTACAACAGGCTGACACTCACCAGTCTGCCAAGAGGATGTGTGGAACTGAGAGAGAAGGGAGGAAGCAGAGGGTGAGGGCTGTGGAGGCCGTGAATCCAGAACTGAAATCAGATTCATGACAGAGGGGTCGGGACCTGAGGGGCTGGCATGATGGAGACTGGAGTCAAACAGCCCTGACAGACCTTGCAACAAAATACAAACCTCAGTTACTTGATATCATAGATGATATAAACAGTTTAGAAAATCTTCAGACTTTGAGCTACCAGTATATCGCACAAGAACAAACTGGGTTTTGGCATAAAAAAATAAAAATAAAAATACTGATGGTATTTACAAAAAGAGCATAGTGACAGGACTGCATGAACCCACACAGAAAGCAGGTCTGGCCCGGATCTGGTGTCAAGCCGGCACTGCTGGCTGGCTTCTGGCATGTAAACACATATGTCATCCAGATATGGGCCAGGCCTGGCATAGATAGCACTGTTTATGTGATGGCATGCCACATCTGGCTAGATTGTGGTTTGGTTTATGTGGCCCAGGCTCATAGAAAACAGGTCAGGCCCACATCTGGTGTCACACTGGCACTTCTGACTGACTGATTCCATGGCAGGGTGTATGTCAACCAGATGTGAGCCAGGTCTGGCAATGATGGCACTATTTATGTTCCTATTTTCCTATTTTAGTTAGAAGACCCAAATGCCATGTTGCAATACTATACTGCTATGGTAGCCAACATTTCAAATGCAGGTTTGACAGGTTTGTGAGTGTACACTTTATCCAAAACTTAGTGAGGGTTTACTCATGTTTACCACCGGGTGGCTGTAGCTCAAGAGGTAGAGCAGGTCACCGACTGATCGGAAGGTTAGTGGTTTGATCCCTAACTCCTCCAGTCTGCAAGTCAAGACTATGAATGTGTTTAGGAAGCACTCAGTTTAGATAAAGTGTGTGGTTGGGTGAATGTGGCATTTTGTATAGAGCACTGAGTAATCTGGGAGAGTAGAAAAGTGCTATATAAGAATCAGTCCGTTCGAAACAGAGATTCGTCATGTTACTTTTGCACTATTATGTTCCAGCACATGTTGTTATTACATGGCTTGATTAATGTACACATTAGGCTGACATCTGGGGCCAGAGCTGAAACTGTTCTGCAACTGGCCTTGTGCTGGCCCATGTGTGGGCCACCCCTGGCAAACCAGATCTGGGCGACCAAAGGACCATCATTCTTTGCGGTATGTGGGCCATGTGTAAGCACATTGTGTGGGTCAGATCCGGGCCATACCAATTATGCTATGTTTGAAGATGTGAGAACTCTGCAGAAAACTGTCTTTCTCAAGGCCCAAAATACAAGGAGGAGACTATTTAAACACCCAAACTGATTTGAATTTCTTGTGTTTGTGACACAAGCATACAGTGTTTGTGAGATACAATTTACAGCTAATTGCAGCGAGATTTAAAACCGAAAAATATCAAAAACAGTGTACTGATTACTGATTTTTGTGGGATAAGCAACATAGGCCATGGAGCTTAGCTGTTGTAAAATAAAACTGAGAAGCATTAACACAGATATGGTTATGAATTTGTATTTCCATACATAGCCTGCTTTTCTTCACCTTTTAGAAAATAATACTACTTCTCTATCTCCATCTTTTGCCCTTGAGTTTTGTTTTTTATTCTAAAGAAAGAAAACAGTTTGATTTTTTTCTCCTTTTCCGTTTGGCATGTACATTTGTACTCCTTTGTTCCTTATAGTCCTAGTCCATTCTGTCTAGTAGTCTACCTTCTTAGTACCTACCATCTGTATGTTGAAAAAAAACACTATACCCTATGGATGGAATCAAAACAAGAAATCCTATATGGTAGTCAAAATATAGGAGTTATATCAAAACTGTAACATACCATAAAATACTAAGATTTATTTATATAAACCACACTGCATTTGTACATTATGGTTTGTATATCAGTTCAATATATTTCAATTTTCAATTCAATTTTATTTATATAGTGCAAAATCCCAACAATGGTCACCGCAATGCATGTTATATTATAAGGTAAAGATCCTACAATGTACACTGCCCTCCTACAATATCCTATAATTACTTCCCCTCCCTTTCCAGTTCAGACATTTATTTCACGTTTCTTTTTGTGTGGGTTATTTCTATTTACAGTTTTGTTCATATGATGATAGAAATAACACTGTATAGTTCACTCGAATATAATATTTAAAACTGGCATTTATACAATGCACAACCAAATCCTTACCTAGTGTTCGTCCACCCCAAGCTCCACCCTGTCTTGAGCTCCCTGGGTGATGACTTGCTGCATAGTCTTGAAGTGGGTGTGGAGTGCCATAGGTTTGATGGTGGAGTAGTTCTGACTCTGGGTGGTATGAGCGGCTCCCATACACGAGGCTGGGGAGCACATGGTTACTGAATTTGACTTAAAACTTAAACACAATTGCTTAAGTACAACTATATTCCATCAGAAGAAATTAAAAGTAAGTACCAATTAGCATGGCAAACAGAGTGCTTTAAATATCTTGGAGTCATAATACCTAAGGATCTTACAGAACTATTAGAACGAAATTACGTACCAATACAAAAGAAAATTAAGGAAGATATAGCGAGATGGAATCTAATTCCATATTTAAGTTTATATTCGAGAATAGATTCAATTAAAATTAATATACTTTCTAAATTATTATATTTATTTCAAACATTATCACTAGAAATTAGCCAGAAACAATTTAATGAATGGGATAAAATTGTCAAGATACATATGGCAACGAAAAAGGCCCCGAATTAGATTCAAAACCTTACAACTTAACAAAGGAAAAGGGGGCGGGGCTTACCTTGTCTTAGGGATTATTATTGGGCAGCACAATTAAGGCCTATGATATGCTGGTGTAATCCTTCATATGACGCTCAATGGAAAGTTATTGAGGAGAGTCTGACCTCCATCCCCATACAAGCTATTATAGCAGACAGCAACCTGCAAAATTTAATAAAAACTATTGAAAATCCATGGATCAAGTTGACTTTTAAAATTTGGGAAACAGTAATAAAAGAATATAAACTAGAAGAGGATATAGCAGTTCTTAAGTGGTGTGCATACGACACACATTTTGCTCCAAATAAATTGGACACCAGATTCAAAGATTGGACAAATAAAGGATTAACAGCTTTATGTATGGTAATGGAGGAAGGGAGACTAATTAGTTTTGATAAAATGTGCAGATAAATGAAGATAAATATTCACTAGAAACAGGATTTTTATAGATATCTACAGATGAGGCATTTTGTCAACAAAAAGATAAAAACTAAGGCTGAATTAAGTAAACAGCTGCTAGACGTGTTTAAAGGGCATACAGTTCAAATAAAAACAGAGGTATTATAGGTGACCTCTATAAAGGATTAACAAATATGAAATTACACTTGACTTTATATATCAAAACAAAATGGGAAATGGAGGGAGGAATAGAGATAAAGAATGGACAACAATATGGGCATATCAATGGAAATGTAGCAGCTCACAGAGCTGGAGGGAATTTGGGTGGAAAAGCCTGATAAGATATTTTATTACACCAAAAATCTCACTATGAAGGTAACCCTCCCGCTTGCTGGAGAAGTTGTGGAAATACAAATGCAAATCACTATCATATTTCCTGGGACTGTCATGTCATTAAAACTTATTGGAAGGGAATACGTGCAGCAATACAAGAGACATTTGGAAGATATTTGCCTTTGGAAAGTAAAACTCTATTTTTTGGATATGCCAGAAGGATGGACAAAGAACGATAAATACTTGTTTAATATTTTACTGGCAGCAGGCAAAAAAGCCATCACAAAAAAATGTCTTTCTTCAGAGAGCCCAACTATGAACATGTGGATGAACATCACAGTGGACATTTACAGGATGGACAAAATGACAGCAGATGTGAACTACAAGAGGGAGCTGTTTGTATCACGATGGAAGAAATGGATGGACTACATTAAAAAACGCAGGCCAGATTTTGATTTTGACTGTGTTAACTACTAGAAGACTAGAGGAAATATTAGTTATATTTATGGAAACTAAAACACACTCCCTACATGCCTTTTGAATTTTTTTTCTGCTTTGCTTCTTTTTCTTTCTTTCTTTCTTTCTTTCTTTTTCTTCTTTCATTCCTTTTGTATGGATATTTTAGTTGTTTAAATACAGAAAAAAGAAAAATACATGTAGTGACAAATTGTTGAAGTTGATGGTATTGTACAGTGATTCCTAAATGTCAATTTAAAAAATAAAAAACAAAGAAAATACGCATTTTATTTCAAGTTAATCATTTCAGCTGAGTGCACTCTCTGTGTTGCTGTTTAAAGTGAACAAACAAACAGCTCTGAAACTTTAAGTTGGATATGTTTAAACATTAAATATAATGCACTTTAGTATATTGGCAGATTTCAGTTAATATTTTTTATTGACTGATAGATACTGATGTGTGCTCTGTTTTCCAATGGCTGCAATTCTAGCAATGTAAAAGAGACTTTGTCCCAGTCCTGACCCAGAGTTTTATGTAAGACCCAAAACTATCCTTCCTTCTGAGGAATTCAGTTTCCTTCCTCCTGGGACACTTGTGGACATGCTCTACCTTGTTATTTCATTATGCATGTTAAAAATAAAAGTCCATCAGACGTGAAGTTGTTTTATGTCATTTATTTTGGCACGTTTCATTACAACACTTCGTGGACTAGTACAGCAGCAGGTACAGGAGTTTGTAGTGTCTTTTATCTCCGCTGACACCGGTCAGAGGGAGCCACAATGACTCTTGTGTGGCCGAGGTGTGCCCAGTCATGATCACACTGCTTTGTCTAAAAAAATAAAGATGTTGTTTCCATTACCTAAGTTTAAACAGCCTGCAGTCTGTACTGGGGTGACAGCTGAATGTGTGCCTGAAGTAAAATTATAGCATCCAGTCACTATCACATTGTTGCATTTCAATTTTTATTTAAAGTTTATAAATGTTGTTTGATTCCAGCTATGCTGCCACATAGCTACAACTAAGATAAGCGTGACATCCAAGTTGTGCAATGTACCAAGAGCACTAAGACATGCAACTACAATTGTTAATGTGTCATAATTATAAGTAAATATCTGGACCTTGTGTATGTAAACATGCAGGATCCATACAGAGCCACTACCCTTCTCCCCACTAGGTAGATGAGATCACAACCTGGTCCTGTCAACACCTCTGTATAGCCCCTTTTTTATTAGTTCTTACTCGGATCGGCTCACCACGACTCGACTTAGATCGACTGGTTTTCTATTACAATCAAGTACCACCTAATGTACATAGTCATTGTCATAGCAACCCAGTCGAGCATCGCGTATTTAATATGCAACACGAACGCTACAACAAAAGTGGATGTCGAGGCAAGAATATACCTGCTACATGGTCTGTGGCTTTTCGTCAG